TCCAGGTACTCAGGCGCCGAGCAAAGCCCTTTCCTCTATCTTCCCACTTTATACTCTCTTCCTGTAGCCCATAATTACTCACACTAAAGAGTGTTTTGAAGACTTGGGGGGTTTTACTGGGAGGGCCCTGATTCAGGCTCACAGTATGGAGAGGTCAGAGAATCCTAGAAATACACTGCTTGAGGGAGCGGTTGGTGTCATAATTTCTCACCTTCCTCAGGCTGGGCTTCATCGTCAGGCCTCCTCACCAGCTCCTGTCCCTTCTTCTGTGTCCTGGACTCCGGATACCTCGACTCTCAGTACTTTGTGCACAGCCCAGGTAACATGTTCTGCTCATTTCTCAGTGCCTGTCAATTAGTAGATGCTCAAGAAATGTTTGTTAAATGAATAGAGGGTGGGAAACACGGGGTACCAGCCATTCACAGAACATTTCATCAGTGGGTGCCCTGAGGAGAAGAAATCAAAGGGCCCTGCAGCCCTCCTGCAACCCCACTTGGGACCCTTACTATTAAACTTCCATTTCCCCATTCTGGGATATCTGAGTCCTGCCTGTGCCAACTCACAGGGCCAGAGCCATGGCTATCTCCTCCTCTTCCTGGGAACTGCCACTGGTGGCTGTGTGCCAGGTAACATCAACACCGGACAAGCAGGAGAACTTCAAAACATGCGCTGAGCTTGTTCGAGAGGCTGCGAGACTGGGTGCTTGCCTCGCCTTCCTGCCTGAGGCATTTGACTTCATTGCAAGGGACCCTGCAGAGACACTACATTTGTCTGAGCCACTGGGTGGAAACCTTTTGGGAGAATATACTCAGCTTGCCAGGTATCGGGGAAAGATTGTTTCTCTGTTGGGCAGTGTCCCCAAATTTCCAGACAGGAGGGTAGAACATTGAGAAGAGTTGCTAGTGTTGCCTCCTCCCCCTTGCCTTCCTCCCCCCCCCAGGGAATGTGGACTCTGGCTGTCCTTGGGTGGTTTCCACGAGCGAGGCCAAGACTGGGAGCAGACTCAGAAAATCTACAATTGTCACGTGCTTCTGAACGACAAGGGTGAGACTTTGTAACTCTTTAGCCATCTCTTTCCTGGCTCTTCTAGCTAAACTAACATTCTGCAGAATTCTCACCTCGGTTTGTTTTCCTTGGTCAAGAGTTTTAGGGGTGTTTGTGCTTCTGATCCTAGCTCATGAGCTAGCCCCCTGAGAGGAGAGGAGCTAAGCTGGGCTTCTAGAACACCAGCACTGAGTATTCCTTCTCCTTCTTCCTCCAGGGTCAGTGGTGGCCACTTACAGGAAGACCCATCTGTGTGATGTGGAGATTCCAGGACAGGGGCCTATGCATGAGAGTGACTCTACCATTCCTGGGCCCAGTCTTGAGTCTCCTGTCAGTACACCAGCAGGCAAGGTGGGAGCTGTGAAAGGATGAGGCGGGGAAGAGGAAAATAGACGTACTTTGAAGTAATAGAGGATGGCAAGCCCTAAGGAGTGGGGCAGGCGGCGGGTATGCCTAGATGCTATGACAAACGGGACAGGGGCATTAGGCTGTTTTTCATTCCAGATTGGTCTAGCTATCTGCTATGATATGCGGTTTCCGGAACTCTCTCTGGCACTGGCTCAGGCTGGAGCAGAAATACTTACCTACCCTTCTGCTTTTGGATCTGTTACAGGCCCAGCCCACTGGGAGGTAAAAGGACCCCTCTTCAAAACATAAGCGCCTGGAGGGTGCAGTTGGTTGAGCATTCGAGTCTTGGTTTCAGCTCAGCTCATGATCTGGGGGTTGTGGGATCGAGCCCTGCATGGGGCTCTGCGCTCAGTGCGGAGTCTGCTTGGGATTCTCTCTCCCTCTGCCCCTCCTACTTGTGCTCTCTCCCTCTCAAATAAATAATCCAATCTTCAAAAACTAAATGAAACAAAAAAACCACACACACAAACATACAGGCCTTCTTTGAACTTCATTCTCCTCCCTTGGCCCTACCAGTTGAAGGGTTTTCTTCCCCTCTCCACCTAGTGGGAAAATTCATTCCCTAGATTGTTGCCTCTCATTATGTTGAAGAATAATTAACATAGTAAATCATTCCCAGGCAGTTATCAGAATGGTCACAATGAGTAGATTGGCCTGTAATGTTCATCACCTATCAATTTCCCACTAGCTGCTGCCTGCCTAAGTGGACACACGTCTCCCCACCCCCAGGTGTTGCTGCGGGCCCGTGCCATTGAAACCCAGTGCTACGTGGTGGCAGCAGCACAGTGTGGACGCCACCATGAGAAGAGAGCAAGCTATGGCCACAGCATGGTGGTGGATCCCTGGGGAACGGTGGTGGCCCGCTGCCCTGAAGGACCAGGCCTCTGCCTTGCCCGGATCGACCTCCGTTACCTGCGGCAGTTGCGCCAACACCTGCCCGTGTTCCAGCACCGCAGGCCTGACCTCTATGGCAGTCTGGGCCGCCTGCCATCTTAAGACACTGACTTCCAGGAGTTGAGACTCCCCGTGAGCTGGTGTGGCTGTGACCTGAAGGCAGGACCCAGGTGTGGCTCCCCTCCCCTGGAGAACCTTGCCTCTCTCCACGGAACACAGGCTCGGCTTCTTGGGAAAGAAGAAACTTTCACCTGAGCTTAGATTTCAGTTTCAGAAAGGTGGAATTTTATATAGTCACTGTTTATTTCATGAAAACTGAGTTTCTGCTGAGGGCTGAGCAGCACTGGCATTGAAAAAAATAGAATCATCATAAAGTCTGTGTCCGGACATCTCCTTTGGGAGCTCAAGGGGGAGGTGGTGGTGCACCAGTGGGACCAGGCTCCAGCGCTAGGCCTCCTGGCTCACTCGCCATGCCTCCCTACCCAAATAAAAGTGCAACACTCAGTGCATGTCCCAGCCCCACGCTCCGACGCTTGGGGGTGGGGGTGGGCTAGAGAATGGGGAAGGAAAGAGAAGACAGGAGGTGATTATCAACGACTTCACTTGCACCTGTGATGCCCTTTGCTCCAGCCAGAAGAAAGCCAAGGGGAAAGGGCTGCAGGCTACATGATTTATTTTCACTTGAACATGGAAGGGAAGTCTCACACTCCCCCTTCCCCTTCTCAGGGGGAGTGTATTTTAATCAGCACCCCCTTCTCCGTCCACCCTGTCGGGAGGGGCAACTTGGCTGGCCCAGTCCTCTTACCCAGTCCTCCCTTGAAGAGGGTTTGGCAAAGGGGACAAAGGACAGAGCCGCACCAGGCAGAGGTCTGCAGCCCTGCAACGGAGGGGACCGGGCAGAGAGGAGCAGCACCAGAGGCCAGGAGAGCGCGGAAAGGGCCACAGCTTCGTTTTTTAAAAATTCTATAATTTGGGAGAGGGTGGTGATTCATTTCCAAAATACACTTCAGAGTCCCACCTTCCACACAGCTCCCTTACTCACAGCCCTTTGGTTTTTCAGACAAAATTGAAGAGCCCTCATAAAGCCAGAAGTACGGATAACCCCGCAACGCACCCAAAAGCAGTGTTCACTTCCGACCCTTACAAAGACTATGTTCCGTAGCCTTTGCTTCTCCCTCTACGTTTGTCTTACGGCTCAGTGGCAAGGTGGCTGTAGAGACACACATTAGGAGGGTACGTGGATAAGGGAAACAAAGGGGAGGCCCAGGCATGTGGGTGCAGGGAGGGATGGGGAACACCACTTCCATTTTCGTCTCTTCCTTAAAAAAAAAAAAAAAAAAAAAAAAGGCAGGGGTGTGATTGGTCGGAAGGGCAGAGAACAAACCCCAGAACAGTATGTAGGCCCCAGAGGCAGGCGGTGGGACTAGTCCCCCGAGCGGAGAGAGGGAAGGTCAGGGCAGTGCCTGCAGCATCAAGTTCCTCAGGAGCTTCTGCCGGCCCAGCTCGTAGTCCTCCTCGTCCACGTTCACCAGCAGCTTGATGGCTTCGTGGCCCACAGCCTGCTTGAGGGAGTCTGTGATAAAGACGCCTTTAAGCGCCTCTAGTAGCGAGCCGTTGATGTAGTCGCGCCAGAATGCGTCGAGGTAGGTGAGCTCGGAGAACTTGATGTCACAGATGATGGAGCCCAGGTCCCGAGACTTGAGGATGGTGTTGGCCTGGTTAAAGCGCTCAAACTGGCGCTCCAGTGGGTCCTGCTTGTTAGAGAACACGTTGCCCTGCAGAGCGGTCTCATGCTGGCAGTACTCGGCCCGGACCCGCAGTCTGATGTCTGGGGGGACAGAAGAGATGTACACGGGGTTGCAGTGAGGGGGCGCGGACAACCCACGCGCCAAAGGGGGAACCGAACAGCTGGGAGGGGAAGCTGGGCCTGCCCACTTCTCTGCCTCTCCCCAGGACAACTTCTTCTCTATGTACCCCCAAAATCCTTGCCTCGACACCAGAGATTCCCTCAAACGGGCCAAGCTTGGGGCAGGTTATAGCCACTGCTCACTAGCAGCACCTTCCTTCTAGGAGATCCCCTCCTAACTAACAGGCACCCGAGTTCCTTCTAGTACTCGGTCATGCCTGGTTCACCCAACAGTAAGGATGTGGTAACGGCGTCCCTCTGCTGTAGTATTAACTAGAGGGAGCCGAGAGGTACTGCTACAGAGACAGGGAGTTTTCTCCCCAGAGACTAACTATTCCATCCCAGCAAGTCATTCAACCGTTCGACCCCAGCCTTACACCGCCCGGTTTCTCAGCAGTTCTGCCTCCCCTTCAGGTCCCCTCCGCCTCTAGAACCCTCACAGCAGCTGCGTTTCCCTTCAAGTCTATGCCGCCTCTAGCACCCTTCAACTTCCTCACCACATGTCTGCTTTTCCTTGGGGTCTGGCGTTACTGACTTCCGGCGTTTTCGTTGGCTCCCAAGGGTGGCTCTCCCTCGAGCTGGCCGCTTGCTACACATCTGAGGGCCCGAAGTGGGGCAGCACACCACAGGATAGTGGGGAGGCACTGACCAGAGGGTAGAAAGGGAAAAAAACATAGTATGGTAAAGGCAGCAGAAATGTGAACACTTACCTTAGAATGAGAAAGGAATCGTTTAGACTTAGCACTAAAAGCTCTATCAGTAAAGTGACCTGAAAAGAGGACAAAATGTGGGGATAGTTACAGGACCCAGGTGAAGCATTAACACCTCACCTGATTTTTATGGGGCTAGATACTGGGGGGTGGAGAGGGTGGAGGGGGTGGGCAGCGGTGAGAGAGACACAGTATCTTTTCATTCAGGCTGGCAGAGCTAGGAAAAGGATGGGTTTGGGGTCTTTTTTTTTTTTTTTTTTTTTTTTTTTTGAGAAAAAGAATGTGTGCGTGCAGGGTGGAGGGGCAGGAGGGAGAGCTAGGAGAAGACAGAAAATCTCCAGCAGTCTCCCCAGAGAGCAAGAAGCACAACGCGGGGCTCAATCCCACAACCCCGAGAGCATGACCAAAGCCAAAACCAAGAGTCGGACGCTCAACCGACTGTGCCACCCAGGCGCACCCCCTTTTCTTTAAAGTAAGCCCTACACCCAACACGGGGCTCCAAATCATGACCCCAAGATAGAGAGTCGCGCGCTCTACTGAGCGGGCCAGGCGCCCTGGTGTCGTCTTTCTTGAAGACGAACATTAGGAGAGTTACTATTTTCTTACCTGTTTTGGGGGGTTGTGGAGGCCTCGGTTCTGGATCGCTGAGGGCTCTGGGGGTCACATAGCGAATGGATGTCTCCTCCAGATACTTGTCTACAAGATCGGGGCACACTATAGGAGGGGAGGGAGTCGTTCAGGAAAAGATCCAGCCGTCACTCCTAACTCGTCTCCTCTCTCGTCCCAGGGAGCCCCCAGGGTCAACACCCCGTCCCGCCTGGACTCCCAGGCTGCTCGGCCCGGCCTCCCCCAAGCCCGTCTGGCCTCTGGGCTTCGCTCACCGGCCCGCCTCCGCTTGAGGGTGACGTAGGGCAGCAGGTCGTGGCGCGTGATGATGCGCAGCAGCTGCAGCACTTGGCGAAAGTTGCTCTCGTCACAGCGGCCCTGGCGCTCCAAAGCCAGCAAGAAGTCACGTCCGTCGCGGATGAGGCCCCGCTCGTGGTCATCGATGACATCAACAAAGAGGAAAGAAAGGACGCGCACATCTCTGTGTGTCAGGTGGGTGCCCACGATGTCGAACATGCGGTGCAGGCTGTAGAGCCCGTGCTCCTGCTCTCCGCGCTCTTCGGGCCACACCTGGCTCGCCCGCCGCTTCAGGCCCGCCATGCTGGGGGCTCAGGCGCGCGAGGCTTTCCAGAATCCCTGCGCGGCGGCTGCGATCCCCACCGTACTGCAAGCACAAGGAGAGAACCCGTGAGCTACTCGAGGGCCACAACTGGTCTCATTCACTCATCTATCCCCAGCCCCTGACACAGGGCCTGGCATGGGGTAATGCTCCGTAAGTATTGGTTGAAAAATAAAGCCTAGAGCTCTCCCATCCAACAGAGGTTGTCCTAAGTCACTTTCCGTAAGAGAGAATGTTCTCCGCAATTTCCATGCAGCATATTCAGTGGGAGTTGCTATCAGATGTTCCCCCGATTGTTCTCCTGTGCCCCAAATACTCTTTTCGGTCCCCTGTGCTCTCCCTCCCACCCCCCAACCGGCTCACCTCTTAAATGTAGGCAAAACTGAAAAGAAGGAGACAGTTCACTCTAACATGGAGGTTGCAGCAGATGAACTTACAGACCGGAGGGAGACAGTTTTTGGGGTGAGAACTAGTTTCAGGTCTGCCTGTGTCATTAGCAAGCCATGGAGCTGGGAGACCTTACGTGAGTCACTGCCCCCCCACACCAAAACACGAATGAAAGTACTTTCCAGACTTGTCAAGGGTCCAATTAGAAACTACATGTGAAATCGCTGTGCCAACAGAAAGAGATTTTTTTTTTAAAGATTTTTATTCATTTATTTGACAGACAGAGATCACAAATAGGCAGAGAGAGAGGGGGAAGCAGGCTCCCTACTGAGCAGAGAGCCTGATGTGGGGCTTGATCCCAGAACCCTGAGATCATGACCCGAGCCGAAGGCAGAGGCCTTAACCCAGTGAGCCACCCAGGCGCCCCCAGAAAGAGATTTCATAGAGACAAGCATCTTCGACCTCTGCGGCCCAGACCCATCCCCCGCAATCCCATCCTCATTTTTCCTACAATCCAACCAAGTTCAGAAGTGTAACTGCACAGGAGGTTAATCAGTGCTATTCACCCAAACTCATGGATTCAAATCAGCAAACATTAATAAGCTTAAAGCTCCCACATGAGCTCTTCTAATTCTCCTATGCCAGGTGTACTCCCTTGATGTCTACACACGTGGATATACCCCTTCTAACCTTCCCTCCTGGTTGGCATCTGCCCATTCCCTCACAATGACTAACAGCAGCCTGACATTCATTCTATAATTTGTTTTTGTTTTTTTTAAGATTTTTATTTATTTGACAGAGGGAGATCACAAGTAGACAGAGAGGCAGGTTTAAAGAGAGCGGGGGAAGCAGGCTCCCTGCTGAGCAGTGAGCCCGATGCAGGGCTCAATCCCAGGACCCTGAGATCATGACCTGAGCCGAAGGCAGAGGCTCAACCCACTGAGCCACCCAGGCGCCCCTATCATTCGGTATTTGATTCACAAAGTTAACCATCAAGCTAGGTAATGTCAGTGACCAGCCAGTAACCAAGCCTCAAGTTCAGAGGCTTCCGTGTCCACGCTAGTCACGCACACGTGCTGCTCCGCCAGACCGTGCCACCCAACGCCGCTGCGCCCTGGCCACGGCTCCAGTCACGTGATTCATCATAAGCTCCTGCTGAAGCCACTTCTGAGTATGTCTTCAATCCCCTCACCTTTCCACGGCCACTGCCCTGGTTCAGGTCCAATAATCTCTCTCCAGGACTATGGTTAACACCCTCTTCAGGGGCTCTCCTTACCAACGGTCTTAACCCACCTAAATCCATTCTCCACATCCTGCTGAATTAGCTATCTAAAACGCACAACCGAGAGGCACCTGGGTGGCACAGTCAGTTAAGCATCCAACTCTTGCTTTCTGCTCAGGTCATGATCGCAGGGTCCTGGGACAGAGCCCCGCATCAGGCTCCACGCTCAACACAGGGTCTGCTTGAGAGTCTCTCTCTCTCTCTCCCTCCCTCCATCCCTCCTGTTCGTGCTCGCTCTCTAAAACAAGTAAGTAAAATCTGTAGAAAAATAAATAAAATGCACAACTGACCACATCACTTTTCTGCTTAAGACCTATCTACAGCCTCCTCCTTACCTATAAGAACACTGGTAAACTCCTTACACAGCACACGAAACCTCTGAGATCAGGCCCTGCCTACCCCTCCAACCTCATAACCCACTTTTTATTTTCCCCCATTACCAGTTTGTTTATAGCTCAAATACAGCATGCGGTTCCTTTCTCTGTCCCTTTCTTAAGCCTGTTCCTTTTTCTGGAGTGCCCCTCTCCCTCCACTGTCCCATATATGCCCCATCACCACCCTTTTGCAGATGGCTAACTCCTACTCATCCTTTAAAAGTCAACTCCGACACCATCTTCAAATTCAGTCTCCACACCTCCATGCCAGGCTAAGTAGTCCTCTTCTGTGCTCCTACGGAACACCGTGCGTACTCCCTTTAAACCCCTTATCAAAGTGTACTAAAACTATCCGTGTATTCATTATCCTAGTAGACCTTAAACAACTCATGTAGATGGACTAAGTCATACTCATCTTTACATCCCCAGTGCCTAGCAACGGCTGGAGACTGGCACGTAGTACTCACGACTTCCTGAACTGAACTTAGTCTCCAGGACATCATCGCAAGCAATACCGATTAAGAAACTCCTACAAGTCCGAGAGAGGACTTTGTTAGAAACCGATACACACAACCACGTTACCTGCATACACTCTAGTCAGCCTCCTCCACACTGTGCAGGACTACCCACTCCCCGGCAACTCCTCAACAACAGGACAGGCTGCCCTATTTTACACACCAAGAAACTGAGGCTAGGTTAAGAAAGAGAATAAAAACGATAAGCTGCTTCAGAAGAGTCAAACTAATAGGCTCTGTGAAAACTAAAGAGCACGTAGGACCTGGTCCTCTCTTCCTCAATAATCCTAAAACAGACGCAGAGACTCCTTCCCTTAAGAAAAGGGGAGGTCCACCCTGGAATCACTTAGCCCTGTATCATGGGTTCTGATACGCGGACAAGAAAAATAGCTCGTATCTGCTTATGAGAACCCAGATGCCCCACCCCCACCCCCGAGCATGGGAAACAGCTGGGAAAAGAGCTACCCTACTACGGGCTGGTTTTCTCTGCCTCTTCCTCTCCTTTCACCTGTTGTAGTTTCTGGTACGAACACGGGGGACGGGGTGGGGGACTGAAGGAAAGTAACTCCTTGCTCATAGCAGGCAACATGAGAAAACTGAGCCTCCCTAGACCTCTCCCTGTTCCCCATCCCACCTGTTCCTTTTGGCCAGCTGCTGGCTGCCAGGAGCCCAGAAAAAGCAGATGGGAAGGTTTCACATTCGATCAATCCACAGAGCAGGTGGCTAGAGAGCTCCTGAATTCAAAGGGTCCCGACTATAAACGCCCAGAAGGGAAGGAATATTGTCCCCACATACCTTCCCCCTGGAAAATGAGGCCAAATACAGGAAAGCGCTACGGTTCTAATCACGTATCAATGGATGCAATTCTCTAACAGGCCTCTGTCCTCTGAGGGTTAACTCTCTAGATTTGAGGGAAAACACAGGCACCTTTAAGTCCTAGATCCCAGGCTGGATCACTCAAAGTGCCAGCAAATATCAGAGCTTCTAGGTCAGTGGTTCTCAACCAGGGAGGATTCTGCCCACTCCCACCCCACCCCCACCCCCGGAAAGTGCAGCAATGTTGGGAGACGTTTTATTTATTTTTTTTTTAGTTTTTATTTATTTATTAGAGAGAGAGAGAGAGAGAGAGATCACAAGTAGGCAGAGAGGCAGGCAGAGAGAGAGGGGGAAGCAGGCTCCCTGCTGAGCACAGAGCCTGATGTGGGGCTCGATCCCAGGACCCCGAGATCATGACCTGGGCTGAAGGCAGAGGCTTAACCCACTGAGCCACCCAGGCGCCCCTGGGAGACATTTTAGACTATGACGACTGGAGGGGGCAAGGGACCGTGCTACCAGCCTGCGCCAAACAGAGGCCGTGGATGCTTCTAAACATCTTATAATACACAGGACAGCCCCCGCGACACAGGATTATCCAGCCCAAAACGTCGATAATGATAGACGCCTGGGTGGCTCAGTCGGTTACCTGTCTGCCTTCGGCTTGGGGCATGATCCCATGGTGCTGGGATCAAGCCCTGTGTCGTGGTGGGCTCCCTACTCGGTGGGGAGTCTGCTTCTCCTTCTCCCTCTGCCCCTCCCCCCCCTCACGTTTACACACGCATACATGCGCATGCGTTGTCTCTCAAATAAATAAAATCTTAAAAGAAAAAAAATGCTGACGCTGAGAAACCCTATTGTAGATGGACCATGATGAAGGGTCAAAAGAAGAGAGACGGCATGTCACTTTCCACCCTAGATCTAGAGAGGGAAGCCACTGGGTCCTTCCGACCCAAACCCATCCAACAATATTCCAGAAGAAAAGAAAAGCTAGTCAGACACAGACTTATTTAACTCCCAAGTTCAAGAGCACTAAGGAGTTCCATCCCACTCCAACCCTGGCTTCTCTATCACCTGCTGTTGCCATTCAGGTGAGCAGCAAGTGGTGAGGCTATACTCTCTTCTGCCCCATTCCGGGAGGTCGAATGTGACCTAGTTCAAGCTGGACCTCTGTGAAGATAAGAGAAATGCCATCCTTTGCAAGACGAACAAAAAGGATCCGGCACTTAACCCTCGCAGCCATCTTTAAAGTCCTGAAACTCGACCAGCTGCAGACCCTTCCTTGCTCAACCGCTGATCAGACATTCTGCTTACTCAATGAAGCAAAATGTAGAAGAAGTCTAAGTTTCCCAAGGCCATGTCCTTGAAAGAAATGTCAGGAGGCTGACATGCAGGCTAATAGGCAGCTCCCCCCCCACCCAGTTATTTATCGTCTAGGATGGTGAGTTCACTCATTTGGCAATCCAGATGGGGTTCCAAGAATCTATCTAACTTCAGCATTAAAAGAACATGGCCAACTTCCTCTTCAACCAAAATATACTCAGCTTTTTGTGGCAGTGAAGCTTGGGAACACAGCTTAAAATATACAGAGATCCTAGATGAAAGATAGCAGAGTAGTAAGAAGAACGTACCCCCTGTAAATAGATTAAAAAGAACTCCTAAGTCCTGGTGTCTGAAATATTGCCAGATATCAAGAGACAAACAAAACACGCCAGTCAAGGAGTCCTGATCCCGCTGGCTAGTTTGGGTCCGTTTGAGAATCTAATATATGATTCCCCTGTTACAGTTTCCCAATTTTTTTTTATTATTATTTTTACCCCAAGAATAATTTTTTATTCCCAGGAATTGCTGCATTTCCTGGAGTTGTAGTTTTTTGTTTGTTTTCTTTAGGGAGGTCCAAACCAGCCAAGTGCCAACAGTCTATATGTATCTACAGAACAGCCTATCAGGTTTCCGCTTCCAAGCAGTCTAGTCTCATCCCAACCAGGAATGACTTCTGTGATTTTTGAGGTACTTGACTCTCTCTGAAGCCTGTAGAGGACAGTCATGTGGAAGACATACAGAAAGAGGGGCGCCTGGGTGGCTCAGTCGGTTAAGCATCTGCCTTGGGCTCAGGTCATGATCTTGGAGTCCAGGGATCCCGCCCCATATTGTGCTCCCTGCTTGCTGGGAACCTGCTTCTCTCTTTCCTCCCTGCTCATGCTTTTTCTCATTGCCTCTCTAAAAAATAAATAAAATCTTAAAAAAAAGAATGATCTCTTGAAATGAAGACAAAACTCTAGTTTTATCTCAACAGAGATGATATCTATATTTTCAGAAAACCAGAAGTATTTGAATCTCTCTCTGAAACCCTTAGGGAGGAAAGTCATGTGGAAGAAGTAAAAAAGAGTGATGTCTTGAAACTTGGAATGAAACATGGAAAAGCTTCAAGATGACTGAGAGATAGCCAGAGCTTTCTTGCTGGTGGGACAGCGAAAATGTAACCAAATATCTGGACGTCAGAATTACATAGTATGTGGGGCACCTGAGTGGCTCAGTCAGTTAAGCGACTGCCTTCACCTCAGGTCCTGATCCCAGGGTCCTGGGATCAAGCCCCACATCGGGCTCCCTGCTCGGTGGGGAGCCTGCTTCTCTCTCCCTTAGCCTGCTGCTCCCCCTGCTTGAGCGCTCTCTCTCTCTCTCTGCCAAATAAATAAAATCTTTAAAAAAAATTTTTTTAAAGAATTACATAGTATGTTTTCAATAGGAAGATTCCAGGAACCCTGAACAACTAGAAGAAAGTATAAGCTAGAGAAAAAGCCTTCCCATGGAAGGTGCCCTCCTCACCCGCTGCAATCCCTCAAGGGTAACTTAGTAGCCGATTGTGTTAGAGTACAATGTCCCATATGTTAAACAATGTTTCTATCTGAGCTGACCAAAATGACTAGATAATAACAAACCAAGCTGGGGGCTTGGTAACTTCTGCTCTGTTTTCCTTTCTACCAATCTCCAGTTACCCAGAAAGACAGTGACTGCAACAGACCTCATTCACTCCGCTGTGTAGGTGAAAACTCATTTTCCCAGCATCTAACCCATTACTGGGCTCAACCCCAATAAATTTCTCATGCCATTGCCATTCATTCCCTTCCATCATTCAAAAACAAAAAAATGTTCCAGACTTACCTTTGCAAGAAACTTAATTTCCCAGGTCTCTTCCTAGCACAAGGTTGGAAGCCAGCAGCAAAACAAAAACAAATGGGGGGGGGGGGGAGTCAGTTTTCAAGCTTTATTTTCAAACATCAAAGGCCCAAAGAGTTACTCTTGGTTACAAGAATACACAGACACCCTAAAGCCATTTCGATTAAAATGATCCACTCAGAGCTAAATGAGAGAACTCACCGCCAACCAACTCCCCAGGCTTCCCCTAACTCTCTACTAACAAGAGTCACAAAACAGTACCAACTCCCAAGAATTTCCAGCCTCAGTGGTTCATGGCAACTTACGGGCAATTCAACAACTTGTGGGAAAACCAATTATCTTCCGCTACCTTCTCACCTGACTCCTCAATTCCTTAGGAGATCCATCTATTTTGTTACAATATTAACACTGACTTTCAACTTTAGGGAGAACCTGGGGCGGGGAAAATGGTTACAGCTAAAGAAGGCGCTTTCTATCACTTCGCTTATCAGAGCAGAACTATCCTCCAAATTCTGTCTTCCGCCCCTTCCCTTAGCACACAGTGCGGACAAAACAGCCACCAGGGCTGCATCCACTCATACATCTACATTTCACCAGGGAATATTTTCTATATGCAAATACTGACCCCTCCCTCTTAGCACTTAAACAGTAAAAGAAAGGTCTGGACACTAAAGCACTCATTTAATTATCCCGGTTGCCTAGATGCCACCCTGTTTCCTGTTCCCTTTCTCAGACTTCCAGAGCCTCCACCCTGGCATACAGGGGTCCAACTCAGCTCGGCTGTTTCCCCATTCTTACCCTGCTAATTGCTAGAAACTAGAAAAGTCCTTTACTCCTTCTACACTTTGGTGGCAGTGACACTGGCTTCCCCATTTCTCCTTCTTTGGGTAACCAGGAAAAACAAGGGAGCAGTAAGTCAGGGAGCCTTTGGAAAGCAAATCCAGTTGAGCCCTCATCCAACCCCAATTCTCTGAGCCATTCCCTTCTGCCCTTCCCACCCTATTAAAAGCTAAAGGCCTGGCAATTAGAATTGGTTGCAACTGATGCCGCTTAACTCTGCTCTGTCTTCCTTTGGTGGGGAGCGGGGAGGGAAACCCCCAACCTCTCTCACCCGTGCAGCTCCACTGTCCTATCTCCCAGGCCATTCCCCTTCCTCCCAAACTTTCCTCCTAGACTCTCACTTTCCCCATTCCCTCGTCACACCGCCACGCTCTCCATTCCCCCAAACCTCCGTGCTCTCCTTTTCCACCCAAATTCTCCCCTAGGCCCTTCCCCCTCCCACCTCCAATGTAACACTTTCAAAACCTCCCCCAAAACGTCTGAAGTCCCCTCCTCAACCCTTCCCACCTCCTCACAACACCACTCTCAAGAGTCCAGTCCCTCCCACCACATGCCACCAGCCCCTTCCCCTTCGCACCCCCGGCCGCTCCCTCCCGCGCCCACCGCCCTCAATCCGGCGGGATCGCAGCCCCACTCCCACCTCGGCCGCGCCAACACCCCCGGCCCGGCCCGGCCCTTGTTTACGCCCCTCCCCGCGCCCACTCCCCCGCCTCGCCCCTGCCCTCTCCCACAGTTGCCACCTCCCCCGCACGCCCCTTCGGCCGCTCCCCTCCCCCACCTCGCAGCGTCCCGTCACCTCCCTCTCTCGAGGTTCTCGGGCTGGACGTCGCCTCCGCCTCCCCCTCCACTTTCCTTCCCCAAGCCCTCCGCGGCCCCGCCCGGCCCCGCCCCGTCCCGCTCGCCTCCCCCTCCCCACTCCGCCACCCCGCCGCCTCACTCTCGGCTCAGGCTCGGCGCCGCCATGTTGGATCCATCCGCGCCGCCCTCCCGTCCCGTCGCACGCCGCCGCATCCGGGCTCCGGCCGCCGCCGCCGCCACCGCCGCCGCCGCCGCGGGCGTGGGGGAGGGGGGGCGGCCTCGTCCTGAGCAGCGCCTCCCGGAACTTGGCCGGTTAGCGGCGGCTTCGAGACCATAGTGAGGCATGAGCCGGGGTGGCCATGCTAGGTGAGGGCAGCCTGGCAGCGGCCTTAACCGGGGCGTGGATAGCTTCAGTGTGGGAAGGGAGACTAGAGACTGGCCGCCATCTTGCTTTGGGGCAAGCGGGCACCGCAGGTTCTTCCTGACGGCGGCTTCGGGGGCCCTAGTGAGGAGGCCGTGAGGGTTGCATTCTTGAGTGTGAGAACGTTGGGGGCGCCAGAGCTGGCTGCCGTCGACTTCAAGACCCATCGAAAGACTGGGACCAGCAGCCATGACTCATAAGGGCGGAATACTGCAAGGGTCGAACGGCCCCGCGAACTTCGGGAAAGGGTCACGATCGGGATTTGACCTTTGCCCCGAACTTCCGGTAAACCCGGACGCTCGGTAAACCTCCGTCCGGAGCTGGAAGTGCTGCCCTCATGCCCCCTCGGATTTCGTTCTTTGAGCGTTTGCCTGTTAAGCGCCCGCTTCCCGGACTGGCGGGAGATGGGGCTGGGGGGCCGGGTACGTTCTGGAGCTGTCAGAGGCGTGTTGGTTAAAGGAGGTAATAAATGAGGCCCGTGAGAATGGGAGGGAGCGATTACGCAAGGCCTTGCGAGTGCGTTGATTTTACCCGAAGGGCAGCGAGTCAACTCTGAAGAGCCTTGGCAGGGAAGCGAACAACCGTATTTGCATTTTTAAAAGATCGCTGGTTGCAGTGGGGAGAATGGGTAGGAGGGAACGAAGTTAGGGGCCAGAACAGTTGAAAAGCTCTTCTCCGCGAGAGACGGCTGTTGTCTGACCCAGAGGAGGGAGAGTGCGGAAGAGAAAAAACATCGGAAATGGGGATGAGGCAGAGGTTAGTCCCCAGTATATTGAGCTGGGTAACCGAGGAAAAGTGATGCCATTTTGTCTTTGGTTTGGGGAGAGAGGATGAGTTTAGATACCCACTCATTGGACAGTCGAATATGAGATCATGTGGGTTGGAAGCCAAAGAGTTTGGGGCGTGTGCGCGAGCGAGTGTGTGAACAGAGGTGTTGAAGCCAGGGACGTGGATAAGACGGTCTAGAGGGAGTATCTGCATCTGGAGAATGAGAGGAGGGCAGAAAACAGAGAAAGGGACACTGAAAAGGGGCAGACAGAAAGGGAAAAAATAATCCAGGAGTGAAGTACCAGGGAAACCGGTCAGAGGGTTAAAGGTAACAGGTTAGGGGAGGTTTGTATTACAATGTGTCCATTGGGTATTGCAAGAGGAAGTCCTTTGGTAATTTTGGAGAAAGTTGTTTCAGAGATACTGTGGGATAGAAACCAGAGTGAAGTAAACCGAGTGACTGGAAATGGACAATGTAGAAAGAGTTTTCTGGTGGTGTTGACTGTAAAAAAGAGGCTAGCTGTAGGGTGTAGCATGAGTCAGGATTCCACAGAAAGGGGAGGACTTTTAGATCCCTGTGGGACAATCAGACCTATGGTACCAATGGCAATTGAATACGCAGATCTGAATAAGGGAGAATTAAATGGAAATTACTAAGTGGAAAGAAAAGCATGAGTAGAAGAATACGGATGGCACATTTACACAGGCATTTAACAGTTAACCATGGGGGCACCTCGGGGCTCAGTCGGTTAAGTGTCTGCTTTCCGTCAGGTCACGATCCCAGAGTCTTGGGATCCCTCTCGCTCGCTCACGCTCTCGCTCAAATAAACAAGATTTTTAAAAAAGTAACCATGAAGAATGGGCCTGAGGAGGATGAAGGATGAAGGTTTCTACTTAGTATTTTAGATCCATCTTCACTGTTTGACTTTGCTTTACTATGTACATATATTACTTTTATAGAAAGCTACTTTTTTAAAAAACTCCAGTAATGTATAGGCCAGAAATTCTGAATCACGAACATTTCAGTGGCACTTGAAGCCGTGGATTTGGGCAAACTCCAGAGAACAGCAGAGGGCTAAGAAGAGTGCTCTGGGGGAATTCCAACATTTGTAATACGTGAAGAGGAGCCCTTGGAGAATCTTTGAAAAGGAACAGCCAATGAGAAAGAATAAAAATTAAGTGACGATTCTTATAGAATCTGAGGGAAGAGAGTGTTTTTTTTTTTTTTCTTTAAGATTTTATTTATTTATTTGAGGGGGGCGAGGAAGAGGGAGAAGCAGACACCCCACTGAGCAGGGAGCCCAGTGCCAGCCTGGAGGCTCCATCCAGACCCCTGGATCATGACCTGAGCTGAAGGCAGATGCTTAACCGACTGAGCCACCCAGGCACCCAGGAAGAGAGAATTTCAAGAGGATCAAAGTTGTTAAAAGTGTTACATATCCCCAGAAAGGCAGCTAATAGGAAAGGTGCCTTTAGCTGCAGACCTAATTTTCCTAGAAGCTTGGTCAAATCCAGCTCGTGAACCTTCCCCCAGATATTATGTGGGATTTGAGCCCTGTGCTGTTCCATCCTTACGGATCATGGCTGCCAGTTCCAGTCTTTCAAGGGACCTTGAAGCCACCTCTGGCCCCACCAGTGCTGCCTCTCCTGATCCTTACTATAGCACTGAAGCTGCTATCAGGAAGAACCGGAGGGGGAGTAGGGTGGAGGCGCCTGGGTGGCACAGTCAGTCGAGCCCCTGCCTTTGGCTCAGGTCATGATCTCAGGTCTTGGGATTGAGTTCCACGTTGGGCTCCCTACTCAGCGAGGAGCCTGCTTCTCCCTCTCCTTCCCTCCCTGCTTGTGCTCTGTCTCCCAAATAAATAAATAAAATCTTAAAAAAAGAAAGAAAAACCTATGTGAGGGTGCCTGGCTGGCCCAGTGGGTAGAGCATTCAGCTCTTGATCTCGAGATGGTGAGTTCAAGCCTCACATTGGGTGTAAAGGTTACTTGAAGAAATAAAATAAAAAATAAATTGGAGCTGGATTAGCTCTTTAGAAAAAAAAAAAAGAAAGAAAAGAAAAGACAGAACGGTGTTGCAAGAACTGATGAAGATAAGGAATTGAAAGTAGGAGTATAGGTTGGAGTTGAGAAGGTCAAACAGTAACTAGGGAAAAAATACATGTAAATAAAAATAAACATTTAAAAAAAGCAGTAACTAGGAGTCATACAGATTTTCCTAAAACCACCCAGAATGAGAGGAAGAGCTGGCTGAGAGGTTACTGAACAAGATGCTGATGTCAACAAGCATGAGGGCTAAAGGGTAAAGGAGCCAGTGGCATCACCTTCAAGGAGAAATGAGTTTTTGCAAGAAAAGAAAGCACAATTGTCGAGATGAACAGCCTCTGCTTTAGAAGGTTGCGTCCATTAGACAAAGTCGGAATTTCTACCCCACTCATTTTCCCCCTGAGCCCACCAGAACTCTTCCTTTGTACGCAGCCTCCTCTCCAGCCTGATGTTCTTCACAGAATGCTCCCTGGCTTTTCCTAGAGGAAGACTCATCAGGACCCAGACAGCTGTGATGTTCCTTGACATGAGCTCCTATCCCTTCCTTGGAGCCTCAGCCAAGAAATCATCCCTCCAACTTTCTGACACTGGCCGCTTCAGCTTGATCCCGATTCCCCTCCTCTTCTGCTTCTCAGCACTGTCCCCACAGCTGTCTCTTCCTTCGGTGCCATCTTTAACCTTTCACGTGCTCCCAGTTCCACTGTGTCCTGCCTATCGTTCCTAACTCGCTAATGTTCGGTGATTAGGAAGCATTTTTTCTGAACTTGGGAAAATCTCTTTCTTTGTCACTTCTGTTTATTGGTCCTGTGTCCCCTCAGCTACATGTCAGTGCTCCAGATAGCTACTATGTCCCCACTAAGTGGTTTTTTTTTTTTTCCAAATCAATGATCATACCAATTCAAATAGTAGATGTTGTACCTTTGTTGATCTGAATGCTCTGTTAGGACTGCTTGTCCCAGTCCATGCTGTTCCCCAGCTCTGCCAAAATTAAAATCTTTACAGAACAGACATTCCCTTAAAGAAGATTCCACTGTTAACAACCCACTGTTCTAAGTATACTCTTGACTCTTCCAGGGCCATTCTGATTTCCATATCCCTGTCCCCTTTACTCTTGAACTTTATCCTACAGCAGCTTACCTTTCTGTTCTCTCTAGTTCTTGGGTCCCCATTAACTGCAGGCTGTTCCTGTTACTCATTTTCACCCAACATTTGACTAGCTCCGAACTTCATTTCAGCTTCAAACCCAACATTAAGCCAAACTATAAGCTAGAATTCCAGTGTCTCCTCGCTCCTGAATGGAAGGAGGAGGACCACCGGCACTGAATCATAATGATCTTTGTAAAACTCTCCTTAACCGGCTCCCTTTTTTTGTTCCCCTGCTCTGACTTTAACCAATAAGTCTTTGGACGAGTTCCTTAATTTCTCTGAGCTTTTCTCATCTGTAAAAGGGCAAATACAACATCCACCCCATAGGTCATTATTTTTTTTTAAAGATTTCTTATTTATTTGACAGAGAGAGATCACAAGAAGGCAGAGAGGCAGGCAGAGAGACAGAGAGGAGGAAGCAGGCTCCCCG